GTCTCACCTACTTTGGTCATATTGACAGAGGGATCATTCCATGAAGAAGGATATCATGGATATCAGTGGATATCAGTGGAGATCAATGAATAAGGAGAAGGCCCTCAATGAGATGGACTGACATAGTGGCTGCAACAATGGGCTCAGATATAGCAAGGATTGTGAGGCTAGCACAGGGTTAGACAGTGTTTCTTTCTGTTGTACAAAGGATTGCTGAGTCAAGACTCATTCGATAACACCTAACAATAACAACAGATAAATCATGCAGTGCTGCTGTTTTACAAAGGAGGTGAGTATAGGCTTATCCTGAGGCTATAATTGCTTTAATAAAAAAAAGGAGGGGGGGGGAACAAAGGACTTACATCTCTATCGATACAGGATTCATTTTCCTTCTTTTCTTCACTGGGCTCAATTTTTTCCTCTGATGTCAGAATTTCTTTTCTTTCAGCAACTTTACCTACATTTGGCTTTGGCCTTCGCAATTGGCCCCTCATTAGTCGTGAATGTCGGAAAGCCTTTAGTTGAGTATCTTCCTGGAGACAAATTTTTTCCCTCAAAGAAGAATAATTACAAAGGAATAAAATCAGTATTTTTTCTGAATTCATAGTTTTCTTTTTGCTATTTTCTTCTCCCAAATATAAGTTAGCCATTTAGAATAGAACATAATTCACATCTTGAAAGATACTAACACACTATACTCAATTTTTTCAAAAAAGACATAATTCAAATTTTCATTACATAATTGGAAAAATCGACATGAGATAAGCATGTGATACTATTCCACATTCAGAGTATTACTGTGTAATGTACAACCCCAAAGCTCGCATCACAGGCTATAATGGCAGACTCTGGCACAGCCTTGAATCTACTGGTTCAGATTCATATTGGAGCAAGGCCGGTTCCAGATTTCTATTTCAAGTTAAATACATCCTTTTGAAACCTCATGCTTTAAAGAAAGTATCCATGAGCAGAACTCTTTTCCTGCTTTTTTTTTTTGCACTGTTCCATACCCTCACATCCCTGGTAACCAATAAAGTTTCCTTCCACATACAAACCTTCCCTTGACTTTTTACAATAATGAATTGATACAGTATCTGTCCTTCTGTGACTGACTTATTTCTCTCTGCATAATGTCCTCCAAGTTCATCCACGTTATGTGGTATTTTGCAGATTCTACTTTATTCTTTAGGGTTGCATCGTATTCCATTGTGTGTATGTAACATGGTTTGCTGATCCATTCTTCTGTTGATGGACACTTAGGTTGTTTCCATATTTTTGCTATTGTAAACAGTGCTGCGTCCTGGCTCTCACATCTTTAGGATATATACCTAGTAAAGAATGGCTGGATCAAATGGTATTTCTAATTCCAACTTTTTAAGGACTCACCGTACTGCTTTCCACAGTGGTTGTATCATTTGACAGTTCCACCAGCACTGTATGAGATTCCCAGTCTCTCCACCTCCTCGCTAGCATTTGTTATTTTCTGTCTTGCTAAACTTTGCTACCAGTGCTAGGGCCAGATGGTATCTCATTGTTGTTTTGATATGCATCTCTATAATGGCTAATGATCATGAACATTTCTTCATGTATTTGCTGGCTGTCTGAATATCCTCTTTGATGAAATGTCTATTCATGTCTTCTGCCCATATTGTAATTGGATTGCTTGCCTTTTTGTTGTTGAGGTTAGGAGTTTTCTGTAAATTTGAAACATAAGTTCCCTGTAAGATATGTTATTGCTGAATATTTTTTCCCAATCAGTAGGTTCTCTTTTGACTTTTTTTGAGAAGTCTTTGGAAGCACATAAAAACTTAATTTTTACAAGTTCCCATTCATCTAGTTTATCTTCTGCTGTGGTACATTTTGGGTTATGCTTGACAGTCTTTTATGCCATAAATTAGGGGCCCTAAATATGCCTGTAATTTTTCCTTGAGGAACTTCATAGTTTTAGGTTTCACGTTTAAGTCTTTGATCCATCTGGAGTTAGTTTTTGTGTATGGTGTGAGGTATGTTTCATTTGTCTGCACATGGATATCCAGTATTGCCAGCAATATTTGTTAAAGAGACCATTTCTTCCCCCATTTAATGGATTTCAGCCCTGTCAAAAATCAGCTAACCATAGTACGACGGATCTGTTTCTGGGTTCTCAATTCTGTTCCACTGGTCCAAGGGTCTGTCATCATACCAATACCAGGCTGTTTTGACTACTGTGGCTGTACAGTAGGTTTTGAGATCTGGAGTGTGAGATTTCATACTTTGTCCTTTTCTTCAATAGTGCTTTGCTTGTTGGCAGATAATGTTTCTACAAACGTACTTACATGTTGTATAAGAATTCCCAGGTATATAGTAGAGCTGACAAGGGACAAGGCTGTAGTCACTTCTTGGCCACAGCCAGCTAGCCAGAGGGACCAAGTAGTTTGACCTATGGGCTTGGGACCACAGTTGCAGGGGACATCAAGCTCAAGTGGTGTACCATACTACACAAAAACATTGTACCACTTCCTACTTTGGCGAGTAGCAACTAGGATCTTAAAAGCTTGCAAGTGGCTGTCCAGATGGAATGATGGGTCTCTCCTTGTCCAGAGCAAAGAAGAATGAAGAAAACCAAAGACTCATGGAAATAATTAATCCAAGTGACTGGTACACCATGTGATCCTCAGCCTATATGACTATGAGACCAGAAGAACTAGATGGTGCCTAGCTACCACTGTCAACCACTTCGAGGGGAATCTATGTAGGAGATTCTGGATAGAATGGGAGAACAATACGGAACAAAACTCAAAATCATTTGAAAAAAAAAAAAAGGGACCAGGTTTGCTGCTCTAATAGAGCCTGATGGATCCCCTGAGACTATGGCCCATAGCTGCCCTTCAGGTCTGAAATTGAACCCACTCCTGCAGCTTCCAGCCAAACAAAAGATGGGATATGAGGTGAACATTTACACTAGGTAGATACACTCCTTGGAGAGAACAATCATGGGAGAATAGATGGGCTATATATGCACAGGGAGACAGCTCAGGGGGCAGGAAAGCAAGGAGGGATAGACACAGGGAAGAGGTAACTGTCGGCAGGAAGTGGATGGGAAGTTGTTGCATTGTGGTAAACTATAGTCAATGTCATGAAACAAAATGTATGTGAACTGCTGTATGGAAAGTGAATTTTCTCTGTAAACTTTCACCCAAATCACAATTAAAAAAAAAAAAAAATAGTGCTTTGCTTATCCAAAATCTCTTTCCTTTCCATACAAAACCAGTGATTGGTTTTTCTTTAAAGAATGGTGATGGGATCTAGATTGAAACTGGAATGTATATATTGCTTTGGGTAGTATTGACATTTTCACAACGTTCAATTTTCTATGCACCAGCATGGTATTTTCTTCCATTTATATAGATCTCTTCTGGTTTCTTAAAGTAGCTTTTTGTAGTTATCTTTGTACAGGTCTTTTGCATCCCGAGTGAGATTTATTCCCAAGTATCTTATTTTTTTGGTAACTATTGTAAATGGTATTGATTTCCCTATTTCCTTTTCAGCAACCCCTTTGCTGGTGTAGATGAATCCAACTGATTTTTGGATGTTGATCTTATACCCCACCACTATGCTAAACCTCTCAATTAGTTCCAGCAGTTTTCTTACTGAGTCTTGGGTTTTCTAGGTATAGGATCATATCATCAGCAAACAGGGATAGCTTTACTTCTTCTTTACCAATATGGATGCCTTTGATTTCTCTTTCTTGCCTTATTGTCCTGGCTAGGACTTCCAATACAATGTTGAATAGAAGTGGTGATAGAAGGCATCCTTGTCTGATTCCGGTTCGCAAGGGGAATGGTTTCAGTCTCTCTCCACTGAGAAGAAAGTTGGCTGTTGGTTTTGCATATATGCCCTTTATTGTGTTGAGGGATTTCAACATGGGTGTTGGATTTTATCAAATACCTTATCTGCATCACTTGATATGATCATGTAGTTCTTTTCCTTTGTCTTATTTATGTGATGGATAACATTGATTGTTTTTCTAATGTCGAACCATCTTTGCATACCTGGTATGAACCCCACTTGGTCATAATGTATGATTTATTTGATATGTTGTTGGGAGTCTATTGGCTAGTATTTTGTTGAAGACTTTTGCATGTATATTCATGAGGGATGTTGGTCTGTAGTTTTCCTTTTAAGTGGTATCTTTGCCTGGTTTTGGTATCAAGGTTATGCTTGCTTCATAACATGAATTTGGGAGGATTCTATCCTTTTCTATGTTCTGAAGCTCTAGTGGCATAGTGCCTAAAATATCTGACTGCTAAACCAGAAGGCTGGCAGCTCAAACCCACCAGCCACTCCAAGGAAGGAAGGTTGGCCAATCTACTTCTATAGTGATACTGCCTCAGAAACCCAAGGAGGGGTCGCTATGAGTCAGATTGGATGCAATGGCAGTGAGTTTGGTTTCCTGGGTGTTGTTTTTTTTTTTTTTTTTTTAATAGTTTGAGTAGGATTGGTGTCAGTTCTTCTCTGAACGTTCAAAAGAATTTGCCAGTGAAACTGTATGGTCTAGGGCTTTTTTAGGTTGGTAATTTTTTTATGGCCTGTTCAATTTCTTCCTTTGTTATGGGTTTGTTCAATTTTCCACCTCAGCCTCTGGTAGTTTAGGTAAATAGTATGTTTCTAGAAATCTGTCCATTTCTTCTAGATTTTTTAATTTACTGGAGTATACTTCTTCATACTATTTTGCTATTATCCTTTTAATTTCTGTTGGTTCTGTTGTGGTGTCCCCGAATTTGTTACTTATTCGTGTTATTTGTACTCTATTCCCCTTTTTCTTGGCTAAATTTACAAGTGGTTTGACAATTTTAGTAATCTTTTCAAAGAACCAACTTCTAGTCTAGTTGATTTTTTATATTGTCTTTTTTCTGCTTCACTATTTCTGCTTGAATCATTACTATTTCTTTTCTCCTGGTGACTGTGGGGGTTTTGTTTACTGCTCTTTTTCTAATTTTTGGAGATGTTAGGTTAAGGTGTTCATTTTGGCTCTTCTTTTTTGATGTGCACATTTAGTGCTATAAACTAGCCTCTGATCACTGCTTTTGCTTTGTCCCAAAGATTTGGGTGTGCTGTGTTTTCATTCTCGTTTGACTCAAGGAATTTTCTCATTTCACTTTTAATTTCTTCTATTACGCAGTCATTTTCAAGGCAGGTGTTATTCAGTTTCCATGTGTTTGCTCTTTTTCCTTTCACCTTCTACTGTTGATTTCTAATTTTCCAGCATTATGATCTGAGAAAATGCTTTGCAGTATTTCAATATTTTTAAATTTATTAAGGCTTGTTGGTGGTCTGTCCTGGAGATTGTTCCATGTACACGAGAAAAGAATGTATTTTGTGCTGTTGTTGGGTTAAGTGCTGCGCAGATGTCTATAATGGCAAAATGGTGGACTGAATTGTTTAGTTCTTCTGCATCTTTGTTGAGTTTCCTTCCTGTTGTTCCATCTTTCCTTGAAAGGGTGTATTAAAGTCTCCCACTATTGACTGTGGACTCATTTATTTGTCTTTTCAATTTTGTTAAAGTCTGATTTATGTATTTTGGGGCTCTATCATTGGGTGCAGCGTTACAATAAATGGAGAAAAGACTGAAATTATCAAAGACTTCACATTACTTGCTTCTACAATCAATGCCAATGGAAGCAGCAGTCAGGACATCAGACAACGTATAGCACTGGGCAAATCAGCTGCAAAGGACCTCTTTCAAGTGCTGAAGAGCAAAGATGTCTCCTTAAGGACTAAGGTGTGCCTGACACAAGCCATGGTATTTTCAATCACCTCACATATGTATGTGATAGCTGTTGGT